ACTACCCCCAGCCCCCTCCGCCCCAATATCCCCAGTCAGGCCCCTATACCCAACCGTCCCCTGATTATCTTCCCCCAGAACCCAGGCCTGGCCTGGACTTCAACCCCCCCACCCATTCCACAGGGCAGCTCAAGGCTCAGCTTGTATGTAACTACGTCCAGTCCCAACAGGAGCTGCTGTGGGAGGGTGGAGGCCGAGGAGACACCCCAGTCCAGGAACCTCCCTACCAGAGTCCCAAGTTTCTGGGGGGTTCCCAGGTTAGCCCAAACCCTGCTAAGGCCCCAGTGACCACATACGGACCTGGCTTTGTGCCCAACTTGCCCCATCACAAGTCAGGCTCCTATCCCACCCCTTCACCGTGCCATGACAATTTTGTGGCAGGGGCCAGCAGGGCTCCCCACAGGGCAGCAGCACCACCCCGACTTCTGCCCCCATTGCCCACTTGCTATGGGCCCCTCAAGGTGGGGAGCACCAACCCCAGCTGCGGGCATCCGGAGGTGGGCAGGCTGGGAGGGGGCCCTGCCCTGTACCCTCCTCCCGAGGGGCAGGTGTGTAACCCTTTGGACTCTCTTGATCTTGACAACACTCAGCTGGACTTTGTGGCTATTCTGGATGAGGCCCAGGGGCTGAGCCCTCCCCCTTCCCGTGAACAGGGGGACAGCTCTGAACACACCCCGCCCCCCTCTGGGCCCCCTAACATGGCCGTGGGCAACATGAGTGTCTTACTGAGGTCCTTGCCTGGGGAGACACAATTCCTCAACTCCAGTGTCTGAAGAGTGAGGACTCCACCGTGATAGACCTGCATTCCCAAGGAGGTTTCCATCCTCCCAGAGAATTCGGGAGAAGCGGCAGCCCCTGAACAAGGTGCCCCAGGGGCGGGAGGTGCGGGCTGGCGGCTGTATATAGTCTGTATATGTTTGGGGAGGAATTTGATAATGACACTGTTTCCTGATAATAAAGGAACTGCATCGAGAATGCTGCTTTCTTGGTGGTGCTGTGTTAGGGAGGCGTGACAACAGGGACCCCAGGGTTAATCCACTCACTTTCCTCCTTAGAAAAGCTCCTCACCTTCCTAGCCCCTCAGGTCGGACTCACGAAGATGGAGACCGTCACTTGGGAGACAGGATTTAAAGGGATGTCCTCCAAACAGAACACTCCCCACCACCACTAGAGATCGCCGGACATGGGTTTCCTCTTCCCTCCTTGCTGGGTCAGGGGAAGAGACTAGTGAAGTCGGTGAGCATCAGCTGGACGAGCTGCCCTGGGTAGAGGGCATGGGCTGCTGGGTCAGATGTCTCCTGCTCTGGTCGAAACAGCGTGGGTCCAAACACGATTCCCAGGTTGTGTGGGGTCATGCGGTTCTGATCTGAGTGTGCTATCACTCTGTGGGTGAAGGAAGGCCAACGAAGGCGCTATCAGGCGGCAGCTTGCCACTTCCCAGCAAACCCTTCCCAAGTCCGAGCAGGGCAGAGTTCACTGTGGGATCCCACCATGTGATGACTGAAAGAAACCCCGAAGAGAGCCTCCAGGGAAAAGAAAATGAGAGGCGGCCATGAAGGAACCTCACAATACAACCCGAAGGCACGACTGCCGCTTCCAGCTTCAGGGCCTGCGCCAGAGTCCTATCTGCTCAGTTTGGGAGGCTTTAATTCAAACGGCTTTCCCTTCTCAGAAGTCCAGGCCATGCTCAGCTGCCCAGGCCCAGCTCAGCCAAACAATCCCTCACCACCGCCCCAGTGGGAGACAGAGACAGACGGAAAGGAAAGGAAAGATTTCCCTCATTTCCCTCACACATCCTGCATGTGGTGCTGCTGCTACCCAAAGGCATTGGCCCTGGTCACACAGAGGCTGCCTGTCTCCTCAATCTGCCCTCCAAACTCAGTGCTTCCCTATCATCACTCTACCTAAACAGACCCTATCATCACTCTACCTAAACAGAGTCCTTGTGGTGTGGCCCCCTCACACGGCTTGCCCCAGCATGAACAGAGATGCTCAGTCTTCCTGACCTGCATAAATGCTCCAGGAGGTATTGTAGAGTATCATGGTTGGGCTTCGGCATCGAGTCTATTAATTCTTGTATCTGAGAGAGGCGCTGCTCGGATTCAGAGATTGCTAGAGAGAGAATGGCGGGAAGGGTATGGAGTGAGGCTAGGGAAGGTGTGAAGACAGAGGGGAGGGGTGAATTCACCACTCTTTCCCAAGCTCATGGAAGACATCATTAGTAGCGAAAGCTTATTTATTTATTTTGAATTGTGGTCTCACTCTGTCATCCAGGGTGGAATGCAGTGGCCTGATCACAGCTCACTGCAGCCCCGACCTCCTGGGTTCAGGCAATCCTTCCGCCTCAGCTTCCCAAGTAGCTGAGACTCCAGGTGCACGCTACCACAGTCAGCTAATTTTTATTTTTTTTGAGGTGGAGTCTCACTCTGTCGCCCAGACTGGAGTGCAGTGGCGCTGCCCCAGCGTCGACCTGCTGGGCTGCAGTGATCTGTACACTCCAGCCTTCCAAGTAGCCGGAATTATAGGTGCACACCACCACGCCCAGCTGCATATTTATTTATTTTAGAGGCGAAGTTTCGCCAAGTTGCCTGGGCTGGTCTTGAACCCATGGGCTCAGGTAATCCATTTGTCCCAGCCTCCCAAAGTGCTGGGATGACAGGCTGAGCCACCAAGCCTGGCCTAATTTTTTTTATTATTGGTAGAGACAATGTCTCCCTTTGTTCTTGAGCTCCTGGGCTCAAGTGATCCTCCCACCTCAGCCTCCCAAAGTGTTAGGGTTACAAGCATTAGCCATCGTTCTGGGCCTGGCTACACGTGCTCTTTCACACAGGTCAACTGCAGTCTCAGAATTCTTTTTTTGTTTGTTTGTTTTGAGTTGGAGTCTTACTGTCACCCAGACTGGAGTGCAGTGGCACACTTCCGGCCACCGCAGCCTCAACCTGCTGGGCTTCTGCGATCTTTCTTCCTCAGCCTTCCAAGTAGCTGGAACTATAGGCATGCGCTACCATACTTGGCTAATTTTTGATTTATTGTAGAGATGAGGTCTTGCCAAGTTGCCCGGGTGGTTCTCCAACCCATGGGTTCAGGCAATCCACTCACCTCGGCCTCCCAAAGTGCTGGGATTACAGACTGAGCCACCAAGCCCAGCCCAGAATTCTTTTCAATTCAGCTCTTTAAATATTCACAAGAAAAAACTGGAGTTGGCACCTGATTGGAAAGTTACTTTTTATCTCTGTGGTCAAGACGGGAGAGAACAGTGTAAGGGAACCTCTATTCTGTTCTTCACCACCATAGCAAGGGTGCTGTCCAAAGCTCCTAAAATTCTTACCAAGGGCAGCCCGGAAATGGGGCAGCAGCAGGGGAGGTACCAGAGGCTGGGGTAGCTCCCGGAAAAAAAGCTTCAGGGCTCCAGTGACCACATGAATGTCATCCCACTCGGCATTGTCCAAATCTAACCGGCCTTCTGGAAGGAGAAGAAGGTACGCGTGGGGGGTGGGGGGCTCACAAAGGCCCGGAGAGACCCAGAGACTGAGAAAGTAGTCCCATCAAGACAGGCCACAGGAATGCCTAGAGGGTCCACGGTAGGACAAGACTGAAAGGTGGGTGGGAACCACCCTCTCAGGAGCGGGACATAAGGGACTCCATGGGGAGCAAGGAGGGGATGGGGAAGTTTCAGGGCTATGAGGGGGCTTCCATGTAAGTACCTTGTCCTGGCTGTTCTGGGAACACATACCTCCCGTCGGAGGTGACCGCCCGCTCTGTAACATGTATGAGGAGAGATCAGGAGCCAAGACCTGCAGTTCCAGCCACATGGCCTCCCTGTTCTGCCAGCACCTTCCCTCAGAGCCCTCACTCAGCACCACCACCTGCCCACAAGCCTTCTTACCTCTGTCCACCAGAAAGCGAAGCTTCTGGACCACTGCCAAGTTCCCGCTCACCCGGTAAATGCCATCCACATCTAGACCTAGATGAGGCAGAGAGCAGGTGAGTACTGGTGCCCTAAAGTGTGTATGGCGAGGGATCTGAGACAGGAGAAAAAAGGCAGTAGGAAGACTCAGATGGGGGAAGAATATTCTAGGCCTTGGCCTGTTGCAAGGGGATTCTGGGGTCTCTGGGAAAATGACCTCTTTTATCCACAGCAGCGATGCAGAGTCGCACAAAGCTGGGCACCGTGTTCCCTTCCCGCTGGCACAGGGATTCCAACTGGCAGCCGAACACCTGGTCTGGGGAGACACAGTGAGGCAGGAAGCCCATGCCGGTGTCACTCATGTATGCTCCTCTCAGCACAGGTCTTCATTCTCAAATGGGGCTGGCCTGCCCAGCTGCCTGTGCCAGACTGGCCAGGGAGGTACATCTCCTCCCGCAATCTCCCAAGGAGGTAGCCTCCCCCCCACTCCTCCCCCCAAACAATCTGAAGAGGTGAGAAAAACAGTGGTCACAGAAGGTTGCTATCTAACTCTGGGAAGCTCTCTACTCAGCCTTGCAGGAGATTTCTCATTCATGAAATGGGCTGATGCAGGCTGGGCGCGGTGGCTTAACCCTGTAATCCCAGCACTTTGGGAGGCCGAGGCCAGAGGATTGCCTGAGCCCAGGGGTTTGGGATCAGCCCGGGCAACTTGGTGAGACCTCGTCTCTCCAATAAATCAAAAAATTAGCTGGGTGTGCTGGCATGCGCCTGAGTCCAGCAGGTGGAGGCTGCGGTGGCCGTGAGCGTGCCACTGCACCCCAGCCTGGGCGACAGAGTGAGACTCCAACTCAAAAAAAATAAGATAAAATAAAAAGAAACGGGCTAATGCAAAAACACTAAAGCGGGCACGAAGGAGCAGGGCCCCAGCTGGCCCAGCACCCCTCACCTCGGAGCAGACCCCGCTCCTGTAGGCTTTGCAAGGGCGGTCTCTTTGCGATAAGCCGCTTTAGCTTGTTGCGCACGCGGTTCTGCTCAGCGCCTTCCACAACCCGACCTGCAGGCGGCAGATAGAGCCAGACCGTGAGAGCAGCCGCCGAGCGGAGGCGGGGAGTAAGGGGATAGGGAAGGGGTCGCCGCGTCCCAGGCCCGCCCCCGCCCATCCCTTACTGGAGCTCCGGCGACCGCTAAAGCGCAGCAGCGGCTTGAGCACCGGCTCGGACTCTTCGTCCTCGTCCTCCCCGGCGCTCAGCTCCCCCAGCTCCGCCGGTCCGGAGCCCGACAGGCGCAGCTCTAGGGGGTTCTCCCTATCCTAGACGCGGGGACCGGGGACGGGGGGGATGGGCCGCGTGGGAGGTTGGAGGAGAGGAGAGAAATCTGCCG